CCCGAGGGGCTCCGCGGGGCCGCGGCCGCCCCGTCACCCCGGCGTCCATGAGGACCGCTGCCTGGAGAAGGGAAAAAAGAAAGAACGAAAAAAAAGAGGGATGGTATGTTATGGCCCTGTGGGAGGGTACTGGCAAATAAGCAAATTAAACAGAAAGAGAGCAGCATGTTGTCATAGCAACAGAGCAATTAAATTACTTTACTGTCAGCCATCATATAATTTTCTTGTTTAGAAGCTCATGGGACATAACTTCCATTTGGAGTCAAAGTTGGGTGTGCAGCGCAGGAAGGCGATGCCGGTGCCCCCAGACGTGGCGGTACTTGTGTTTACCTTCTGGCTGTGCTGGACCCTGCTTTGAAAGCTAGGAAGTGGGGCCGATGCAAGTTTGGTCTCCTGGTGTTTACATCTGCATCCGTATTTTTTCCTCTTCCAGAGACCTGTGTAAAACTGCACATGTTCGCTGAGCTTGGTGGGTGATGGTGTGTACTAATGGGCTTCTGTGCCTAAGAGTTCTGTATGTTTCTTTTTTAGTAATGGCTGCGTTGGTGTGAAGTGTTTCTAGAAAGCCCAGAGGAACTTTCCTTTTTCATTTTCACCCTTTTGTAACAGCTAAAATAAAGCTTATCATTTTTCTTTCCCGGAATGGCTGTCTTGCTCTTTTTTTTCCCCCCCTGTAGATAGGTGCTTCATTCTGTTGTTACCTGTAGGTTTTTTGCCCTTCATTTACAGTATTGACTCTATGACTGCATGACTTCAGGGAACTGCTGAGGATCATTTTAGATACAGGGAATCATTTTGCTCTTGTTCAGTGTTTGTGCAGGAAGTTTCATTGTTTTTGAAGGTGTTATTAGCTCTTTCCAGTTTTTGTTTCACTACTGTTCACATCTCCAGACCTAAATTCTGACAGTTTCAGTGTGTGGAGAAGCTGAGGGAGCCTGTCTCTGGCTTCTGAAGTAGAATTGTTGGGCTCTTGTCTGCTTCTCTTGAGTTGGGCAGATGCCTGACTTCTGCAGCTTCTGCAGGTCTCAGGTCCTCGTGAATATTATTGCCCACAGGTGTCCCCCTGGGGTCTGCTGGTGCAGTACCCTCGGCAGCTCGTCCCACCTCTCCCTTGCCGCTGTTGAGCATCACAGCAATCTTTCTAACTCTGTTTTCTACTGCGTTTGAAATACGGTTCAGCTTATGTTAAAATCTTTTCTGTTTACATACATTTTTAAAGTGCTCTGTTCCTCTGGCACTTGTTTCCCCATGTTTTGGCCCTGGTCCCAAAACTACCGTGCGTTGCTTTCCCTCCTCCCTTCTCCCACCCTTGCTGGTTTTGAAGTTCTGCTGTCATTTCTGAGTTGTGTTGCAACTACGACTGTAGCCAGATTGGATGCTTGTTTGCCTCAGCCTTTAGCCAGAATGACTTTAATCACGGTGCTGTTGTATTGTCCTCAAAAGTGAAACAGCTGAACTTAATCTGAAGCAACTGGCCTTAAGCCCCTCTTTTTTTTTTTTTTAGTTCACATGCTTATTAAAGTGATACAATCGGAGTATTCAATGATTTGATACACATATTCATCATTAAAGGGACATGTCTTCAGGATTTCCTGTGTGGGGCTTTGCGTACATGCGGAACTGAGAGGTATTGGGATTATTGTCTTATTCTATCGACTGAAATTTATTCCCTTGTCCTGACTTTAGATTATCTTACTCAGTAGTTGTGGATGAGTGTTTATGTGAGTCTGTCATTTTAATACAGATGGCAAAAGGCTGGAGTGATCAGTTAGGGAAAAGCTGTCAAAATGTTATACAGTAACTTTTCTCTCTGTTTCTTTCTCCCCTTCCTTTGGATTTTCTCTCCCAGGAGTTGCTGTCTAAATGGGTCCAGTCATGCCTCCCAGTAAGAAGCCAGAGGGCTCAGGAATTAGCGTTCCCAGCGGATTGAGCCAACGTTACCAAGATAGTGATTTATCAAAGGCACTTCACGATGACGAGGACCTAGATTTCTCTTTGCCTGCCATCAGATTAGATAAAGGGGCCATGGAAGATGAAGAACTAACTAATTTGAACTGGTTACATGAGAGCAAGAACTTGCTGAAAAGCTTTGGGGACTCGGTGTTAAGGAGCGTTAGCCCCGTTCAGGACATCGGTGATGACACGCCACCATCTCCTGCCCACTCTGACATGCCCTACGATGCCAAGCAGAACCCCAACTGCAAACCTCCTTATTCCTTTAGCTGCCTCATATTTATGGCCATTGAGGACTCGCCAACCAAAAGACTGCCTGTAAAGGATATATACAACTGGATCTTGGAACACTTTCCATATTTTGCAAATGCACCCACTGGATGGAAAAATTCTGTGAGACATAATCTATCCTTGAATAAGTGTTTTAAGAAAGTGGACAAAGACAGAAGTCAGGTAAGTTTGGAACTATGGAAACCGATCTGGCTCTGAAAATAGTCACCTGCTAATCCCAGAATGTGTCTGTAACGGTGAAATGCAGAATATGCAACCCTGTCCCTGGTAATGTAGTTCATTAAATTCAGAAAGCCAATGTTTCTTTAGCATGGCTCATTCTGATTTTATTAAATTCATTGTCTAGACATCTGTAAGAAAGTACTCGGGGTATGTGTGTGTGTGTTTGTGTTTTTCTTTCCCCCCCAGCTGGTGTCTTCATGCATAGTGGTTAAATATTGTTTTTAGTTATCATGCTGTGGTAATGGTTTCCAGCTATACTAGATGAATGTAATCATGTTATAAATAGGCTGCTTGCTGTTCTTGGCTTATACAAATGTATAGTGAAAGGATATGCCTTATGTAAGAGTCCACCGCTTTTTCCCTAGTCTGTGTTGTAATCTGCAAAAACTTTTCTTTCTCTTAAACAAACAGTAGTAGTTCTGGATTTTGGTGATGAAGCTTTGTTCCATTTCAAGCAGGCTTTGAGAGGAGATAGGTCTGGCATCAAAGGTGAAAGTTACCGTTCACCAAAATTTCAGTTGTTCTTTCCCTGGGCTCATGTAGCTCCTGCAACTGGTGCGGTGGCAGAAACCTGGGGAGCCCGTTTTTGCTTTTGGGGCTCTGTTGTCGCCTGGTTTCATTGCTGAATCCTCATCGGCATCTGGGGGAATGGGGAAGCGAGCCGAACGGCGGAGGCAGTCCTTGCATAGCCTTCTACCGTGTCCCTGCCTGGGAGCACGTATCGGTTTCCAAAGGGGACTGTCTTAAGAAGCAGTGGTCTGGATGAATCTTTGGCAAAGTACGAGTATACTGATAAAAATATCAGCTTGCAGATTAATTTCACGGGCCTTCTCACAGGTTAGTGAAATAAATAGCGGGTAAAATCACATCACTGACTGACTGTCTCTAAAATTGGCTGAAGATCAGAAAGTGGACACTTTCTCCTGGCAGAAACAATAGATGCACTCAACTTTTGTATTTCAGTGAAGTAAATGCCGTGATTGTCTTGTAGCTGGTTACCCTGAAACTAGACTTCTGTTGGTGGTGCTGTTCTCCCTATTTTGTGTGCAATTTAGCTTTAAATGCTGTGAAATAGGAGCTCAAGTAACTCCAGAGGAAGAGTCATATATTACCCTAAATCAGCAACTTTAAATTTTATTTACTTAACTTTCTTTCCTCTGGAGCTTTCCTTTTATTTAAATGATTGACGCTTTTATCTTTTCTTTTCCTTTTTTTTTTTTTTTTTAATTTTATTCCCTAGAAACCACTGTCCACATATTGCTGATCACAAACTGTATGTTGGTATTTTTATGAATTAGTTGCTATGAGAGATTGTGAGATTAAAAAACCTGTTCCTGAACTGGATCTTGTTTTGTGTAAACTAGAGTCTTAAATTCTTGTTTGGAAGTGAGACTATAATAGCAAATGTCACACCAGACTTTTATGATCCTGTCCCATACCATCAGATGCACAATACATTTAAAAACCACCAGAATATTGTAGCTAGCAAGGCATGTGCTTAATACTGCCATTTGTGTTCTGTTGTATCCTTCTTCCTCTGTTTACAAGTTGACTATTTAGATTACAGCTTCCTTCCTATGAGGAACTTGTCTTCATGTCTGACTGTCAAACATCCAGCAGTCTGCTGAGATCGTATGAACAATACCACGACGTGCTGCTTCTCTACAGGGAAGTGGCGGAGCACAATGCATGACTAGTCACCTGCGTCTCGAATTCGTGATTAGAGCCATGGTTACATAGCTATACAACAAGGTGTGGTGGGAGGCCTTGCCTGTATGAATAACAAGGTGGCGTTTTATTCATTCCTGGAAAATCCCAGGTTATGAGAATGAATTTCTTCCATCTCCTGGAGATGCTAATAGCTGCAGGTAGCCAGCATTAAGGTGAATGAGATGAGAATCTCAAATGTAAAATGCAACAAGGCAGGTTTAAATCCCCTGCTGGGTTTTTCTCGTGTCCTGGCCAAGGGACATGGCAGACAGAGTCCTGAGCACAGAATTGGCGCTTGGTCAGAGTTGCTGAATCAGGTGCTCTACAGCTAATTGTGGACTTGGAAAGCAGTAAACATCAACTGCTGGCATTGAAAATACCTTCGCGTGTGTGCACCCACACACTTGAGGTTGATTCAGGTACCTTGCAGGAAGCGTTGCTGCTGTTCAGAAGGAAGGTGTCCATCTAAAGGGTTCTCTGGTTTTGGTCTGGGGCTTGGGGCAGGGGAAGGGGGTACTTCCCTTGGTAAGGAATGATTTCATGCCACCACTTCCCCTTTGCATCCAGATTCTGCAGATTGCAGGTTTGGAGTCTGTGTGTCTTACTGTTTTTACGTGGAGAGAAAAAAGCATTTAGCAAATGGCATGTTATAAAATGCTAACAAGATAGGCTCTGAAACATGTACAGCGTGGGGGGAAGGAGTTAATCAGTGCTGGGAATTGCAGGCATTTGCCAGTTGATGTGCGTTGACACATTGTGAAAAGCTAGAAGCTTTTTCTCTCATAGTTGTGCTTTCCAGTGCTTGTTTGTGTAGACTTTCAGTAATCATTTTTCTAAAAAAAGTTCTGCTGAACACTTAATTATTTTTTGAATTCCCTCTGCATAGTAGTTTTCTCAGTCTTGTGTTCCACTAATTTATATTGATGGGGCTAAATATGTATTTAATGGTATGCAGCTTTTTCTGCCTGTGTATGAATGCTTGTATTTCCTGATGCGAGATCCTGGGGGGGTGTTGGGAGGGAAGAGACTTACTCTGTCCTGGTGCTTTTTGGTCTGGTGTGGAATGCCGGGAAAAGACTTTTTTCTCCTCAGATTTGTTTATGTACTGCTGCTATTCCACTTCAGCTGCACTGCCATCAGGCTTACCTGGCAAGCCGACAGAGTGACTATTCATGTAGCTTTGCGATGAGGCTGAGCTCCTGGATCGAGACAGAGCGCCGGGCCGAAGAAGGGAAAATGCTGAGCCCTTGATTGTACAAACCTCTTTGCATTGAGCTCAGCAGTTTAATAATAGTTGGCCAGAGTATGAAGTATCACATGATGGGGAGTAGATGAGGAGTTCCCTGGCTTTGTTTATACTGCCAGACCTGTGAATTCAGTCATTCAGATTAATCCTATTGTGAACATACAGATCTAAATGTCCTCTAGTGTGTGTCCCATTTAGTACAGCCCGTTAGCCCATGACTTCTCTGACTTCTCTGCCATCTGGTCCTTGGCTATAGAGAGGAATTTTTCTTGTATATGTGTCTCCATAGCAACGAGTTTGCAGTTGATATGGAAAGTAAGCAGTTGCCCTAGCAACGGAGTTACTGATGTGGCAGCTTCTCTGCTTGCAGGGAAAGGGCTAAGCTAGTTCAGACGCATTATGTAGGTTTGCTGTAATTATAGCTGCGCCCACTAGTGCTGCTCTAGCTAAGGGTCTGTTGAAAAATTTTCTTATAAGCCCTATTTTTTTCCCCCCTTGAAGATTTGTTTTATTCATGTAGGGATTCCTGCTTTGAACAAAGGCTGGCAAGATTGTGTTTTCAGGGCATGTGATAAAGCCCTTGCCTTTTATGAATGCAAACTTTTCTTGATCGTTATTGAATGAGTGGATGAGGGGAAATGACGTTTGGCCTGTGATTTTTTTTTTTTTTTTTTTTGGTCTGTGTGAACAGCCCACGGTTACAGAAGCCGGGGCTCTCGTCCTGTGTGCCTTTACGCTATTCTGCCGTCTTTTCCCCAGTCTGTGCTTCTTCTGGCATCCATCCTATCAAGAGGGTTCCTCTTTGTGTTTACTCTGCATTGTCTGAGATAGAGAAATGCACACATGCTCCTGGCTGTGTGCACACTGAAGAAATTAAAGTCTCTTAAAGGTTTGTTTGGCACTTACACTGAGGCATGTCTTAATAAAAATGTAATGAGGGTAAAGGATATGTTTATTGGGACGGGAGAAGAAAATTCTCCTCGCTTGATGTGGAAGTTATTCTTAGAAGTACGTGGTCCATAACTGGGTCATGGAGATCCAGCCAGGCTCCTCCTCCGTCTGGAGCAGGCTCTGAGATCTGAGGACTCCCAAGTGGTCCTTGGGCTCTGCGAGAGCCGTCCAATGTGTCCTCCTCTAATGCACTGCCTCTTGTAAGCACTCTGCCAGAGCACCAGGCGAGAGCCATGGAGGGGACCCTTTGGGCACAGGAGACTTCTCAGGAGTCCCTCCTGCCAATGTCTTTCCTCTGATGTGATAATGTCTGGGCTTGTGACAGGTAAAACCCTTCAGAAAAATAAGTGCTAGCTGGAGTAAGGGGAAAAGGAGCCTGCTGCTTCTTCATTAGTCTCCTAATCCAATCCGCATATACACAAAGGCGAAAGACCAGGGACCCTGTCCTCCTCTTAATGTTATTATTCGAGAAGATCTCCTGTGAAAGCTTGAGGGCACTCTGGGGATAGAAATGATCTTCTCCGGTTTTAATATTGTTATCACCTAGACTGACCCAAATAACACAAGCGTCAGAATTTCACTTTTTAATTTTATTTATGTTACATCTGGTGGAGCTAAAGTGTAAAAAAAGCTCAAACCAAAACCAAACAACAAAACAGCCCCTCAGATTCATGTTAAAGACTTCAGATGATGTTGACTCCATTAATAGTGTCCTAAATAAGCTGGTCCAGATATTAATTTCCCAAATTGTTAAAAGGAGATGTTGTGAGTTTAAGCTGGAATTTGTTTAGTTCAACTCAAAATCCATTTTCTTATACCTCAGTCTGTCATAGTAAAAAGCTCTCTAGTATCAGAAATTTTCTCCTTAAATTGGTATTTAGAGAAACGAGGGTCATCTCATTCCAGAACAATCATAAAAGTCTCCAGGACCATACTGTACTATGGGGTTTCCAGTTATCAGACAGTTTATGGAGAGCTTTTCTTGAACCCTTTCAGTTTTGTTTTTGAAGTGCAAACCAGAGAAATTATGTAG